TGTAAAGCTTGAACGCATCCTTTTTGAAGGGATTTAAACAAAATCCCACAAGTCTGTTAATGTTCTGTTGAGGTTACAGAAATTATAGCAGTATCAATGTTTTGAAAAACAGATCATGAATTTGACTATAAAGAAAATAACGAGAGTTTCAAATAAGCCAGAGTGGGATGCATCATTTTATGGGCCGTCTCCTCTCGTGGGTGTTTTTTTTAACTGACGGTTAACAATTATTCAGGATACATCCTGAATAATTGCGGCGTGTCTTTTCAAATAATGAAAATACAAGGCTTTGTTTTAACTTCAGGGAGTAGCACATTCATTTTAACTGCTTTACTAACCGTGACATCTTTGCTATTTAAGTTGTAACCTATTAAATGCTTGGTGAATGCTTTAGCAGCCTTCTAACATGTGCTGCTGGATGTATCATGGAACACACCCACACATTCCAAAATGCACAAGTAGCTTTTCTTTTTTGCTTTAGAGTTTAGTCTACTTTGTAAGCTGAGCTCGTTCAGATCCTCATCACTTCCTATAAGAATACACCAGTTCAGTCAGTTGAAATACTGGAGCACATCTTGTACATTTCAGGACTGTAATATTTCATGACTGCATTACACAGAAGGCAGTGAAAGTGGGGATACTTTTTCTCAGTAGTGGATTGAATTACTTGGAGAGAGGGGAACAGGAGGAGAGAGACAGAGAGAGCACATTTTTGTAATGAGCTGTTTTCATTGAGATAATTATTCACAATGTCACACGAAGTGATATTCATCTGAGCCCTAATCCCTCATTGGAATGGATTTCAGTTGCACAGCTCTTCTGCGATCGTTACAGTATGGGTCTTTGTATTTAGTCTGTGCCACTGTGCACATTCCTTTGCTTGTGGTGTTTATCTTTAGTGCACATTCGTGGTGCAGATGAATGTGTTGCTATTTACACCCATTGCAGAGCATTATTGGAAGTATTAAAAAGTCTTGCTCATGTAGTGAGTGCGGGAAATACTGTCCTGCAGTTGTGTCTGGCAGCGGTCCTTCCTAGTCCACTTCTGCTTGAGGAGAAAATGAAATCACTGTTTTTAATCATGCTGTAATGGCTTTCTGCATTTGTTACAGTTTCATTAAAAATCCATTAGCAGGCACATTTTTGTTCTAGCTGATGGATGTGTTCCAAAGCCAAGGGACGTTAAAGAAAAGGTAATTTGAGTCGACCCGCGATGAGCTCCGTTCTCTCCATCTTACATTCCAGCGGGGGTCGTCATCAATGGCCGCGCACCATTTTTGACATCACTGGAACAATCCCAAACTGTGACTGTTTATATGAAAACGCTGGGCCACTTTTCCAGGCTCCGTTCCCCCCGGATGCCAGCTGGAAGCCATTGGTGTGAGAACCAGGGTCATGGGTGTTTAAACAAGCTTCACACTCACTGCTTATGGAGGAGATGAGGAGGGACAAAGAAGATCCACATCCACATAACTTGTAGAGGAAGAAGATGAAACAGAGTAAGGATTATGGCTTTGTGCAGACTGGTGGCCAATATTAGAGAGGCTTTCTATTATTATACGGCAAATTGTGTCGTCCCTGAGTGCTTTTGTTGAAGGAGGGAGGTCTGATTGCCAGATCCTCCCCAGGGACGGTGCTTTGTGGGCCCTGACATGCGGGACAGGACCTTTACTTGTCAGACCCAGCGAGTGTGCCTGTGTTTGTGTGCGTATATGAGTGATTTGGAGTTGGAGGGGGGAGCTGTATGAGATAAGGAGCTATTGGGTTTCCTTCATTTATTTTCTCACTCCATAGGCGTTCGCGCTCCGCTGCCTGGCCTCCAATCTCCAGGCCTGATGCTTTGATGTCAGCATGAGTTCGCTCAGCAACCTGCAGAGGAAAAAACAACAATAACAAAGAGCGTGTTTATCCAGCGATGGTCTTCGGCGTGCAGCCATTAATCTGCTGAAACAGTGTGAAATAGACCAGTTAAAAAAATGTCTGGCTTTCAAAGATCAGGCGGTTGCAGGCGTGCGAGGTAGTCAACTGCTAATCTCTGCCAAGACTTTTCCCCCTCCCAGGTGATGATCTTAAATTGAAAAATTGCTTTGTAATTTGTGGTTGAAAAAATAAGAAAATGTCAAATTTTTCAAGAAATGCACATTGGGGATAAAAAAACAAACAACTGTAGCTATTTAGTTTTGTTTGAGGCCAACTGATGTCCAAGTGAAAGCCTCACGTGGCAACAAATAGCAACAAGTAATGTATATGTCTTGTAGGCTAAAAATATTCAAATGTGTATGTGATACTAATATATATATATATATATATATATATATATATATATATATATATTATATAATATAACGGTTTAAACAGCCTGGAAAACAAATGTATTTAGAATACAAGTTGGAACATTTAAGTTATCACGTTCTAACAGGTGTCATCACATTGTTAAACTGTTTGCCTGCCGGCACCTGAAATGTTCCCAAAAGATTTTTAAATAAAAATAAAAAATTAATATATTTTCTTAGTCACAAGGCCAATTTTGAGGCTTGAGCGGTTTTTGGGGTCTCAGCGTTCTGGCTCGTTTGTTTGTACTAGGACGGCTGTGACAGTGTCTGCAGAGGTGCTGTTTTGAATAGCTGGAGGTGGTGGCGGGGTTGGGCTAATGTGTCAAGCAGCTCCGATGAGGGACAAGCCTGTAGACAGGTTCAACTCACTGCCTCCCAGGCCTCGACCGAGCTAGACGTCTGCAAGGGGGGCAGAGGTCAGGCCTGGCCTTCCTGTGCCCTAACAATCGATGGGTGCCCACTTACCCTCTGAGTAGGGGGTCCCCCTTTCCTGTGACTGACACTGCCATGACCCTCTCCTTTCCCCCCTTTTTATTCTGGTCTCATTGTCTCAAAGTTTCACTTTCGTTCTCAACTATCTCTCGCTTTGATGTGTGCTGTGATTTTTCCAACTGATCTTTTTGCCTCTTGTCCCCTTTTCCATTTTTTTCGTGCTACCGTCATCTTTGGTCAACAGCTGAGTCGCCGTGCCTGCAGGGCTAGCAACCCCCCTTTCCCCGTCCTTCTGTCTTTCCCTTCTTCTCTATTCCCCTCTCCCCCCCTCCTGTGCCCTGCCGTGGCATTGGACGGATCGGCTTTCCCGGCGGCAGCTGAGGCAGGCTTCGTTTGTCCCAGGGCTTCCCTCTGAAAAGGCATTTTTCCCCCTCTGGAGAATGGTTCACTGGCCACGGTGACATTGAGCGCTTAATTGCGCTACTTCCAAATTTGGCAGCCTTGTTCTTTAGTGGCGGTTTGAGCCGTTGAACTCAATGTACTTATGGCCTGCAGGGCCCGGCATTCCTTTAGGTATAGATGCGAGAGTCTGCAGGGGAGGGACAGAGTTTCTTATTCTGATGTGCTCCGGTGTGACGTAAACTAAATGCCTCAACATGTGAGCATGTCTTATTATAGACTTAGCTCGTCTAAAGTATTACAATTTTTTTATTGCCAAACCTCAAAATGTGAGCACTTCTCGTCATGAACTGAGCTCATTAAAAAGATCAATATTTTGTTATAGTTGTATCTGTAAATATTCCAAATGCAGCATTAGAACTGGGGACAAGTTACCAAGTGGAGTGTGAATAATGAGCAGCATTTTCTCCCAATCTCAACTCTTTGCAACGTTGATGAAGTATTTATTTTTCTTCCCGTTGTGTTTACCAATTCCCACCGCTCAGTGATGGGGAGAAAACTGGCTGCATAGTGCAGCCCGACCACAGAGGCCCTTACTGCAGGCAAGTGTAAATATCTGTGCCAGAGCCCCTCTCCTCTCTTTTGGCAATTGTGTTTACGTTGCTGCACTGGGGGGGTACTCGCCTCTCTTTCACCCAAGTGTGTCCACAGCTCAAATTATGCAAAGTATGTTTAAAACCTAATCTTCATTACCACACAAAGAGAAATGGTTCATTAAACCGTGTCAGAACCAGGGAATGTGTGTTAACTGCGTTGGAGTACGTGTATACAGTATGCGCAGCATGTGACTCCCAACAAGGTGTCGGTGTGGGTTTTCGTCTGCGTGGATGAAGTGTGTGTGCACCAAGTAGCCAAATATATTTGTTTTTTTGACACCTTCTATGTTTACATTGGATAAGAGGTGACTCCTGAGACACTCTGATCCTCCTTTTGAATGGCAAACACATGTGATCGCCTCCTGTCTTTGCCCGTATTGTGTGACTAGCTAAGCATCCGGGCCGTCTGTGGGAAGGTTACAGTGCTGTGGTGACCCCAATCAATGCCTGCTGGGGGTTAACTCACTCCACTCTCCAGGCTGTTCAAAAAAATAATTGTACATGTATTTGGTTTCTTCTCCTCCAACCTTCCTCTGTTGCAGGCTTATGTGTGCGTTGACAATGAATCTGAGTTATTTGTCCAGTTGTACATAGCAGTTGTTGTAGTCATTGTGCTCTGATTTGAATGCGAAAGGCAGCTCTCCCCTGTTGTCTGTAGTCACAAGGTCTCAAGCTCTCTACAAGCTGAAGCAATAAATAACCTCCTCATCCCCAAATCTTCCCTGATTTTGTTTATCTTCAGGCTCATCTCTGAAAGGGATGTCCATTTCTTTGCCCCCCAAAAACACACACACCGGTCTTGTACTTACATTCCTGGGCTTAAGAGGCCACTGGTCGGTGAGTGCAGATGTCATGTGCTGATGTGTAGGAGAGACCTTTACCCTCATCCAAAGACCAGAGTTTATTTGTGGAGCCCACGGTGATGGTTGTTAAATGGGGATGGGAGGGAGGCTCAAAAACATTGGTGTGTGATCACTGATTACTCTTCTTTCCCCGAGGACACAGGAAGAAAGATACTCTAAGCTCTACGAGGTAATGGGGAGAAACTTCGGTATTCAACTGGTGTTTTGGCTGGGGAGAATTGAAATAGCCATCAACACATTAATGAATTCTTTGTCTCTAATCGAAAGTAACTATGCTAACCAGTGCTTACTTCACGTCTTGTGTGTTTCATCCTCAGGATGATCATGAGAGCGGCTCTAGCTCCACCAGTCGTAGTGTCTCAGACAGCTCCAAGGCCGTGGCCAAGCCCCGCCGTCCCCAGCAGGCTGCCCCGAGCGACCCGGACCTACCCCCAGGTGAGTGATAGCCCCCCCGGCCAGCGAGGCTGCGCCGCCTCCATGACCACCAGAGCAGGCGCGGCCTCTGTGTGGGAGAAAGGGGCCACAGAGTGAGGACTGAGATAAGAACCCGGTTTGTTGTTTTCCTTTTGGATTCTCAGAATGCTAAAGAGACCAAACACTTGGGTTCAAATCCACTGTCTTGTTGTCAATTCAAATGGAGGCAATATTTTTTCCGCTGTCAGTAATATTCATTTTGTGAGGAGCTGTGTAGCGCTGCACCTTTAACCAGTGAGAGCTGGGGCGGGTGTCTGTAATTAATCACACCGCGATGGCTCTTATCAACAAGGCCACTTGACCACATGCCTCCTACAGGGCCATGGATTCCTGGCCCGCTTTACCTCACAAAGACCAGCATTGTTTGATTGGGGTTGCCTATTGGCTTTTGAAAGAGTTTTTTTTAGAAATAATAATGCCAACATATCAGATTGAAACATTGTGAGGGAGAACGAGGCAAAGGGGAGACTAAATGTAAGGAAAAGATACGGCTTTAAAAGGGAATAAAAAGAAAGCGAGATTGGGGACTTTATCTTTCTACACATTCTAACTCGCAACCATGAGGCTCACTCACGAGTATAAGAACCTACACTCCTGGCTGTTTGTATCTGGGGAGGATCCATTTCCAGGCCTCATGTTATGAGATAATATCTCTCCCCAGCTGTTAAAGCAGGGTGCCTCACACCCCAGCAGCTCCCTTTGGGCCTGCCTCCAATAGATCCCCCAAGGTAGGTGTGTGTGTGGTTTCTTAGTGTTTCTGGGTTAAATTCAGAACATACCCCACACTGCTCCAGCAATGGACCTTGTTTCAACCCATTACAGGCTGTAGAGACAACTCTGAGGTCAAAGGTTGCGGCACCTCAATAACAGCGAGGAAGCAGATGAATGCTGTAATCTCAGCCGTTCTAATTAAAAAGGTGGAGGTTAAAAGGTAGATGGGGTAAAACTAACCAGCCATGACTCAGACAGAGGATGTTTTACTAAGAACGCGATGCAAAACAAACCTGTCAAACCGAGTCTTTAGTATTTAAAAGATGTTTTTACAAAGGTTTGGACACGGCAAACAAACTCAGGCAATTTAGTAGCCATTCATTGATTAGTCCATTTTAGGCATGTTATAGTCATCCAGTGTGCATACAGATGTAGCATTTTCATTACTGCCTTAAACACATCCTATCGCTTAAACAAAAGCCTGGTGCCACCCTGGCTCTGAAGGTCAAAGCGCTACACTTAAGGGCCTTAATGGAGCTTCAGCTGGGGCTGTCACCCCATGGACACTACTAACATTATTACTAATGAAAAATATAAGTATTGTAAAATACATAGGACAATTCTAAAATTGTATTAGTTACCTTTAATGTGGTCCTATGGTTGGCTACATTAACACTGTTCAGCTGCCTGAATTATTAAACAAAATGCTAAAAAATAGGATAATAAAAAGTTTGTGTTGGACTTTTCTCAAAATGAAACTAAACATTTGTCTGAGTAGGATTGAAGGCCTAACCAGGTGATTATGACGTCTGTTTTCGGATGTTGCATCCTTGTGTCTGGTTGAGCCTCATGCGTGCTAGTTGCACTGCGAAGGGAGTGATGGTCAGAGGCAGATGCGTGCGGACGGGTTCGTAGGACAGTGTGAGCAGCGAGAACAGCAAACCAACCGGCCAGCTTCACCTCCTCGTCAGAGTCCACATTGACAATCATCCGCTTCTCTCCTGTTCAAAACAGCCCAAACAAAACACGGCCGACACTAAAAAGCAGCCACCAGCAATTATCCAGTCGTTTGGCCCTAAGCTCTCACATGCTGAATGAATTTATCCTCCCCGCTCTCCCTGTGGTGCAAAATAGTGATGTTAATTCATATGCCATGGGATTGGTAGCCACACAAAGACCAAAGACCAAGTGCTTGCACCTTGGGCGACTCTGTGAGTGATTATGTTTTCTGCTGCTTGTGGAGGACCAGCGGCCACCGTTTGTGGGAACCGCAATACTCGCAATCCCGCTCTGTTGCAAATGTGTTTTGTTTTATATGCGATCAAAGAGATTCAAATATGGCAGGTGTCGCTTTGATTCGAGGCACGGCCTGCTACCTGTGAGGAGGGTGGATCAAAGTTCTAATCAAGATTTCAAAGCTCTACTAAAGGGGCAGTTAGTATGACGTTTCTCTCTGCATTCTGACAGTTTCTATGGAGAAATTCTTACTTGTCACATGTGATAACTTCTATTTATTTAAGTTATTCTATTTTTCCCTATGAATTAATACAATAATTGAGCTTGGTCACAAAGTATGTAGTCTAGGGCTGTCAAAATTGCTCAAAAATGACATTCGAATATTCACCTTAAAAAACACCTATATTTGAATATGTGGTTGCACATTAGGCATGTCAATAACAGGAAAAATGACCACTTGTTTATGTAATTTATTTAAGTTTAAACATATTTTACAATATATTACCTTCAAACAAGTAAATTGAAAAATTAAATTGAATAGAGCGGGTGCGCTGGGAACCACAAGGTTGGTGGTTTGAGTCCTGGCTGCCCCATGTCGGTCCCTGGTCCCTGGGCAAAAATGTAAAAAGCCATGGGTTAATAATGCAATGTAAGTCGCTTTGGATAAAAGTGTCAGCTAAATGACCTGTAATATAATGTAATGTAAATTAACTAATGGGCAAGACCGCAGATCTCTTTCTCGCTCTCTCTCCTACACCGTCGTGCTCTCTGCGCATAGCGGTTTACATGAACGACAACAATAAACAAATGCTGAGTGATCGAGAGTTTTGTGCAAGGAATTTAAGGTTGTGATTCTTGTCACAAATATGGCAGGATTCATTCAGTGATTGATGCAAATATTATTAACATCAATGGAAGTTTTACGTACCGACATTGAACGCTCCGAGCGAGCTGTGCTGTGGTAAACATGGAACCTTTCCATGGCATGAAACGGCATATAATCAAACTAGTGCATGAAGCTGTTGTAGCCATCAGTCAGTAGTCAGGCACGCGCCCAACCGCAAAGCAGACAGTCTTTTTTTTTTTCCCCACATTCGAATATTAATTTTCACATTCGAATAGTTGTTTTAAACAACTATTCAAGTATATATTCAAACATATTCGGACTTGAATCTACAGATTGAAACCATTTCACTGCGCTTTTGTAGCTATGTTTTTGTCCAAGAATTTTGCTTGCATGCACGGCTGTGTTGTGTAAGTACACGTGTGATTGGATGAGATCGAGATTGGGCATGGGCTGAATTGCAAACACACTCCTGAGATAAATCCACGGTCCAGTGCTACTGCTGTCCTGGTACCGGAGCCTTTACTCTAAATAAATAAATACAGCAGCTTTTCTGGTATTACTGGGAAATGCTGCTTATGGAGAGGGAATATCCCATGCTGGTAAAGGCTGGGGCTTTCTCCTGCTCTGGAGACCTGCTTTACCATGCATGACTGAGTTCTGTCAATCTACAGTTTTACTGTAGTAAAGCCTTAAGAGGCCCTGGCGCTAATCGAATGGCTAACATCACCAAGTGGTGGTGGTAGCCTGGTAATAACATAAGCTTTGCTGTGTTTCCATCTTCCATCTTCTTTCTTGCATTGGTGAGATCCTTGTTTACATTTCTGGCATTTTATATTTTATAGATAAAGATATATATATAAGATATATCTAGATATAGATTTTATAGATATAACATTTATTTGATAAAGATACAAATAACTGAGTCAACACATGAAAGGTGCCCACAGTAGCCACCGTGTATGTCCTCTTGACTACATGGTTAACCGTATATTCCAGTATAACACTTGAGTACAAGCATACAGTCCATTTATTGTCTGATGGACTTCTCAATGTTGCTGTCCATGGCTAAGAACTGGAATGCCTGATAGCTGCTAATACTTTCCATATACAGGAAAAGTGGTGAGGCTGGACAGTATAGTGTTTCTTTCCTGTATTGTACAGAAGAGAGTACTTTTCCTGTTCTGAGATCACATAAAGGAGCTGTTTTTTCCATTCATTTTATGGTTGAACAGTTTTAAGTGGGCTACCTCCTTTTGGGCCGCAGCACAGGTGCTGGCTGTGTCAATTGTTTACAGAAGTTCAGAGGGCCGAGATGGCTTGCAGAGAGACGGATAGGGGGCCCCAGAGTCCGGTGCGGGGCAAGAGGAGGTACAGCAAGTGTAAGAGAGTGCAAAGAGAGAGAGAGAGACACTCTGACACAGGCAAATTAGATCCAGAGAGGGAAATAGCAGGAGGCAAAGTGCCGGTTTTACGGCCGGGCTGCAGGTGCGACTGCAGCTTTCCCCACTGACCCCAGAACTGCAAGGCGCACACTGACACACACACGGCCGCATTATGGACGCAAGAAAAGCAGCCAGGCGCTCCCCGGGACTCCGACAAGCACACGCATGCACACAGGGCCACGTACAAATGTCACGAACACACATCGCGTTTATGAGCCCAGTTTAGATTACGTCATGCACTCTTCCTGCCACTCTGTTTGGTCAGGCAGCTAACTCCTGAGGATTTTCTTCAATTGGATTATGCGAATGCATGGACGGGCCTGTGTACAAGTGGCAGAACACTTGACCAATTCATATAAATATTTTCATCAACAGCACCATTTAGTTCTGACCAATTATTGGTTCTGTTTTTCCCGGGCCAGGCATGTAGATCCAGGAAGACAAACATTTGGTTTGGAAAATAAGGGAAAGACATTAAAGGTTTATATGTTTTAACTTGTAGCCACTGTGTTTAACAGTACATGAGAGGAATGAATAATGCTATTGGTCCTGTGGTTGGGAGGATTTATGGCTGTATATTTTCATATTTTATGGTTAAAACTCCCCCGTCTGTAATATTTTAAGTTCCTGCTTGCTTGGTTGAGTAATGACCTGAGCATGTATGTTTTTCCTGCAAAGCTTCTGTTTCTGGGCGTCACTGCGGCCATTAGGAGGTCCCAGTAACACTGCAGGTCTGCTCCCCCAGGCCTGGTGAAACCCAATCTATTGGGCTGCATCCCTCCGCCTTTTCCCCACAGGAAGCCGCCGAACCAAACGTTTCCCCCCCCCCCCCCACCCGAAAATAAATACTCTTATTTCAACATTTCTGTTTCTTTCCACATACAAAATGGATTTCTTATGCCTTTGTTCTTCTTCACCGCAAACTTTCAAAGTGCTTGTCTCATTCTACTCACATCCTGTAATGCACACAAAGTTTGAAAGTAGGTGATGAAAGACAACTGCAGTAAAGTGTGTTTTCACCTACTTGTTTTTTTTTCTCCTCTTGTCAAGACCCAAGACGTTCCACTGTGCCCTCAATAACTCTTGTCCTGTATAAATATGTATAACGTCTGTATTTTTTATGTGGGAAGGCATGTGTATGCTAATCCAATGAATCTTTCGTACGCCAAAGTGAACCCGGTGGTTTCTACAGGCTTGGGTGGGATACTTTTGAGGCACCGTGTGCATAGTTTGGAGTTAAAAAGAACTTCAGCATCTGAGTTGAGAGCTCTTCAGAGATTCATAAATACACCCAGGATTTGTAGCACTGCTCAGCCAGGGCGACGAGTACAAAGTACAAAGTTTACTTATGGATATTTAGCCTCTTTTCCCTTTACATGTCCCAGGAATAAGCTGAGGCGAAAGAATAACACGTCAGGCCTGCGTCTTATTTACGAGCCAATGAGGATGACTGGGGTCAGTTGTATTGAGCCCAGACTTTTGGGGAATGTGGGTTTGGATTTAACACTTTTTACCCTGTCTCTGTATATTAGTAGACATCTACTAATGTAGCTTCTGTGTGTTCTTATGTGTTCTGCTTTTTAAGATCTCCCTCATGCGTTTGCTCATGTATTGGCAGGTTACGTGCAGAGTCTGATCCGGCGCGTGGTAAACAACGTGAACATTGTGGTGAACAACCTGATCCTCAAGTATGTTGAAGACGACATTGTGCTGTCGGTCAACATCACCTCGGCAGAGTGCTACACCGTGGACGATATGTGGGAGAGGGCCTTCATGGACATCACTGGTGAGCAATGGCTGCTTACATTCCCTGATTGTGGGATTAACTAGTAAATCCACTGAGACAAGAACCTATATACTACAGTAAGTGTTTTGTTTTGTTAGTTCAGACTAAGGTCAGACTGACGTTTCAACAGTCATGGCTCTGAGCATAGATGCCCACAGTCTGCTGCCACAGTAGTCTGTCTCCTCCATCTGATGGGAGCATGTGCAGGTCCAATGCAGAGTGGGCTTAACACGTTTAAACCACAGTAGATGGATTTTAAACCTCAGCATGCCACATGTAAACAGAACAGTAAGATGCTTAATCCTTCTGGGACCTTGCTTTTGATGGTTCCCAGGTTAATGTGTTATGTTTGCAATAGTTTATTCTCCCTTTACCAATAACTGTCCCTATTAGTTCTTAGAACTAGAAAATAACTTTTAGCTTTTTACATCTAACACAGAACTCTTTGATTTGTCACATTGTTGTGTTCCGTAGAGGGCCTAAAACTTCCTTTGAAATCTGGTTGCAACTATGCAGAGATAACGGAGCGATTTATGTCTCACAAGCCTGGGATCCCACCCAATGTTAATGTTCCATACAAGCGATCAACTTTTCAAATGCGTTTACTGACTGAAGGCCCTTCTGGGTACAGGCTGCATATGGTTTAGAAGCCGTGGCGTAGCTCAGACTCTGGAGTTCCTAGGGTTACTGACATAAAATTACAATTATTTCAAACTTGAACTACCTCAAAACGATGAAGATAGAGCTGCTGCTTCACAGGGAGTCGCAACAGCCTATATCAACAGAGAAATCACGGAGTCATTTTCTGTCTTTTGGAATATCTTGTCAAGGGGGCTATTCCAACGTGTAAGGCAAGTAGTGGTTACAACAGTACTTACTGGCACTGTTCACAGACAGAATGAAATATTTCTGGGAATGATGAGTGCTCTTCTCACGCTGCCAGGGGTGAGAGAGTCCGTGACTATTGAGAATCTGATGACACACCACTTGGTTGTACAAAAGTCACTTAACACACCAGCTCTGTGAGGCCTGCTGAGTCTCCCCTGACTCTCTATGTCACAGATAATGAGGATTTACTGTCAGGGTCTGCTCTCTGTAAGTGGGCTCATGACTCTTCTGCACACATGCATGTATGTTGGTTCTATGTCAACCCGTTCATTGTGTTTCATGCAGCCACTTGTTTTTATGTTTTTTTTTCCTCTGTGAAGCTCCAGAGCTGGTCCTAAGGAAAGTCATCAACTTTGCTGACTGCACCGTGTGCTTGGACAAGCGGAATGCCAGTGGCAAAATCGAGTTTTACCAAGACCCGCTGCTCTACAAATGCTCCTTCAGAACCCGTCTCCATTTCACCTACGACAACATCAATTCCAAGATCCCATCCGTCATCAAAGTGAGCAGCAGTGACAGTATCATCTTCCACAGGCAAAGATCAGAAAGAAGTGTTTTACACGCTCAATTCGATGGCTTCTTGCTATTGTCCAAACATGTCACATACAGTATTGTATGTAGGTCAATAGCAAGATACTGACTAAGTTCAGCCCATTGCTTAATACAGCTAATTTTAGTACAAATAATGATTTGTTTCTGTTGTACCATCAGTATTTGGGGTAGACTAGTGGTAATATTTTAACAGCATATCTGTACATTTTGTTCTGCTTCTCTGAAAAGTGGCACATTGATTCAGTCTGTTTGGTTTGAGAGAAGAACAAAATGCTATTCCTATCTGGGCCGAGTTAATCAATGTTCAAGAACTAGTCAACCACGCTGATGTGATTGAGAAGAGCCAATCTAGAGGACGGTCTCATGTCATGAAGCAACAGTTTTTGGATTACACTGAGGTTGAGAATTGGTAAATTATGCAAACTATGCTAATGGACAAACTAACTGCCTTTCCTGATGCAGTTTTAATCACATAAACCCTGGGTTCAAATAATGAGGTTGATAAGTCTTTTTTACAGTAGATGGTCACATTGCCTTCTGTTCATGTTTGGTTCATGTTTTGACTGTGATGCTCTATAATTTTTTCACTCCTATGATAGATAGAGAGATACTTTATTGATCTCTCAAGAGGGACATTTTGGTATCACAGCAGCATGTACAGGGAAGAAAATAGAATAAAAAGATACACATTATATACAATATAATAAGATAGAAATATTAAATTATTAAATTAAATTAAATTAAATAAACTAAAACTGAAACAAAAGAATAACCTTCCAAAAGAGACAATAATAACAATAATAGTAGTTATTGTAATAAGACAATAATAGTTTTCATTGTGTCCTGTCATCATAACCACAGACATCTAGAGTAGTTGTTCCCGTTACGGCATGTTAAGCAACAGCATTAGTGAGTCTTGACTGTATTCCAGTGTAAATCAAACCCAAATGGACCTGACCTCTTGTAACCTGACTGTATGTTCTTGCTTCTTGTTGCTTTATACAGTACTTTTACTTGCATTTAGGTCACGTACATCCTCCACATGCAACTCCCAGCATCCTCCTGTTATTTAGAGGGGGGTCGACACCTGTTCTTATTAAGCATTCCTATTCACAATAGGCATATGTTTACAATCATGTAAGCACATAATGCGAACACCAAAATCACTTACAATTTTATCTTGTCCATGTTTCTTCAGATCCAAACCATGGTGGAGAGCCTGAAGTTGTCCATCACTGATCAGCAGCTGCCCATGTTTATCCGCATTTTAGAGCTGATTATTGCCCTCTACTATGGGGAAATCGGAGGACACAAAGAGGGCGAGGGAGAAGAGGCCAGTGTTCTTGTCAGGGAGGCTGGAGCAATTTTACCCGGTGAGTTTTTTTTCACTTTGTTCATTTAGTTAATTTATTATCTAAAAGAAACAAAACTCTGGGTATCTTTTATTAATTTGAAATATTTTCAAAAGTTCTAAACCAAGTTTCTTAAAAATGTCTTTAGAATTTGCCACCTGAAGACACATTTGGTTAGGTCAATTCAGCTTTTCTTTTCTTTTTTCTTTTCACCTACACAAGATGGTAGTTTAATGCCTGAGGCCCCTACTTTTTGCTGTAGCTGTACTGTTATATACTGAGCAAAGGATGTAGGCAGCAAAACAACCACAACGCATTTCTAAATGATATATTGAGGTCTCAAAGTGATGTAACGAGAGTGTCAGTATTGTTTCTGTAATGGTGGTTAATGAGCTGTGCGGCGGTGCACATAACTTGGAAGCTTCTCAGGCGGTGTTCTCTTTGCCCACTGCCTCATTCTCTTCAGAGAGCTATGTCCGACATATGAAGAGTCAAGCACAGGCCAATCTCTGGTTCTGTGATGAGAGCCCTCCATTGAGGAGCGGACCACAACAGACACATGCAGTCGGTTTCCAGCGTACCACATACAGCCTTTCATAATCTCACACTAAATGCTCATCTCAGTCCATCTATCCATCCATTTTCAACCGCTTATCCGGGGTCGGGTCGCGGGGGCAACAACTCCAGCAGGGGACCCCAAACTTCCCTTTCCCGGGCCACATCTACCAGCTCTGACTTGTGGATCCCAAGGAGTTCCCAGGTCAGTGCAGATATATAATCTCTATACCTAGTCCTGGGTCTTCCCAAGGGCCTCTTCCCAGCTGGCCGTGACTGGAACACCTCCCTAGGGAGGCGCCCAGGGGGCATCCTCACCAGATGCCCAAACCACCTCAACTGGCTCCTTTCGACGCAAAGGAGCAGCGGCTCTACTCCGAGCTCCTCACGAATGGCTGAGCTTCTCACCCTATCCCTAAGGGAGACGCCAGACACACTCCTGAGGAAACCCATTTCGGCCGCTTGTACCCGTGACCTAGTTCTTTTGGTCATGACCGATCCTTCATGACCATAGGTGAGGGTAGGAACGAAGATTGACCGGTAGATCGAGAGCTTTGCCTTCCGGCTCAGCACTCTTTTCGTCACAACGGTGCGGTAAAGCGAGTGCAATACCGCCCCCGCTGCTCCGATTCTCCGGCCAAACTCACACTCCATCTTCCCCTCACTCGTGAACAAGACCCCAAGGTACTTGAACTCCTTCACTTGGGGTAAGGACATCACTCTTTTGGCACTGTCCCAGACTTCCACGCAATGTTGAAGAGGCGTGTCATCCAGGGTTCCCGCCCCTTGATGCATCCCAGCCAAATAGAGCAATATCGGGTCCCAGATCCTGGTGGGCAACGTCGGCCTTTGTGGCACCGGGAGCGAATGATGCTGCACGGGGAAGTGGTTGGCAGAGGGAGGCAGGCGGCCCAGCACAACGCGGCCCATTCGCTCACTCCCTCTGACTCGCTCCCTGCATGTTGGCCTGGAACTTTTACTGCTAGTTGGCGCAGCTTCCAGTTCAGTGTCCAATGCCAGATGTAGTCGGTGTCATGCTACTGCTATGCGGAGCCTCTGAGAATGAATTAGTATCCCATCACAAAAATATACAGGAGGGGACCAGCTCTTGGAACCTGAGCGCCCCCGGATCTTGTTATGCTGGAAGTAATCGACGAAGGGAAGAAGCTGAAGGAAAGCAGTGGAGGGGCTGCGTGTGTGTGTGTGTGTGTGTGTGTGTGTGTGTGTGCGTGTGCGTGCGTGCGTGCGTGCGTGCGTGCATGCGTGTACTGTAGGTGGGTGTATTTTTGTCGGGAGGTGTTGCTGCAGGAACATATGGTTTCACTGTATTCATTTTAGATTTAAGGAGTAAAAACTGAATTATTTTAATAAAAGTAGCGGAATTACAGCCCAAATGATTTACTATTCGTAATAAAGAATGCATTTCTCTTTACCACAACAGGCAAACTCATTTATTTCTATATTTATGAATGTTGATGCTTATAGTTACAGAGTCTGCTTCAATGCCTATTCCTTTACAGTGGGTTGCAGTTTGTGGGAAACAATTATTGTCACATGATTGTAGAACATGATCCTGGTATTATAGGTCGTTCTGCATCAAATTCATTAGATTTCATATAGGCCGTTTGTGGTGAAACGTTGCTGTATTATCTGACTCCAATATCCTCTATCTGTCTGTCTGTCCTTGTGTGTGTATTTATTTGTCCTACCTTACTCTTAAAATTAGTTTTTCCCCCATCTAAAGGTGTTTTTCTTTTTGCCAATTAAAGTGGAAAAAGCCTTGTAATGTGTTTACGTGCCCAGGAATTAGCGTGGCTGCAGTTTGTTTGATTCCTTCTCTTTAAGGGAAGAGCCAATGTCTCATTAATGAATAGCCCTAATAGCTCAACGGTGCGGGACACAAACCAAACCAACCCTTTCCAATCCGCGGGCGAAAATTAAAGGAGGTTCCGAATTCCCCGGAAAAATCTTTAGGGGTGGGGGAAACCCTTAATTATATTTTTTTTGGTCGTCCCCCCCACAAACCCAGCCCGAGTGGGGGGGGAATAATATCAACGCGTTTTTTTTTTTTTTTTGTGGGGGGGGGGGGGGGGGGGGGGGTCTGAGAGCCTGTTTGTGTGTTTGTCAAAGGTCAATATGTTTTTAGTATTGGCTCTATGGGAGTGCCTCAGAAACGTATCGTCCTGAGGCCACAGGCTATCTGCTCTTTATGAACCTCATGTGGCTCCCTTTATACAGCCCCAGTGACGTGATGGGGCCCCTTTTTAATCAACCTCTCCCGTTTAATCTGTGTGAAGACGTCGAAGGTAGAATTCAATAGATGCGCGTGGATGAGACAGCTTTTTGTCTCGCAGAGTATTGTTATATACGACTGCTTGAACAGATTTTTTAAAACATTCTCATGTTAATGTCATGTTGGTGGTGTTAAATTGAAACCGTATGCAACACACATGTTCCATATGTCTTCCAATCCTTTACATTAAAACACCTAGGCCAGTGAGGAAGGGCTGAAAGGATCTGATGAGCTGCGAGTAGCCTTTGCTCAGTGGTCAGGTAAGCAGTCCACCTATCCCTCTATAAACATGGAGGGACATCTACTGGCCTGTGTGGGCACTGCCTGCGCTCACTCCTCCCCTCCCATGGTCACAATGTCACTCAGCTGCGCACTCACTTACACGCCCACTCCTAGCCACCACTTGCTAGCTCAGGCGTACACCGTTGCCCGGAGGCCTTGGGCTCATGCTAGGCAAACATGACCCCGATCACATCCCATTACACACCGCTTGTGAGCGCTGCTTGTGGACATGTCCACAACAAAGATTCCAGTCTGGCTGTGATCGCTGTCACAACGGTCCTGTATGTCGTAATGCAGACATTTTGGCCAACCCACATCGCTCTCTGGGAATTTTTTCACTCCCCTCTTTCGGATTAATACTTCAAAGTCTCCATAAGCCGCTCCTTTTTGATCGCTTGATTAGTAATTGTGCCTTTATTTTGATTGCCTCGCTATTTGAACGTAGGCCTCGTCAGGCTGTGACGTGAAGCGAAAGAGCTTAACTTGTTGAACTGACACCTCAAAGGCTTCCATGGACGGGAAACAAAAAGAAGGAAAAAAGAGAAATCAGAGATAAAATCCAGCAGGGAGATTTTGGGGGGAGAAGGAAGGGAGATAAAAAATCCATAACATGGGATTTCCAACTGCCAATTCGCAAAGTGAAAGATTTAATTAAAATATGTCATAATGTTCACCGCCTTAGCCTCTGGGATTCCTAAGGTGTGACCTCACGGACAATTATTGTTTTCTCACTGAGGATTTGAGGCCGCGAGGAACGGGATTACACATTCTTGCGTATTGACATCAGCTTCCTCTCTCTTCCGAAGTGCGTGGAAACCGGCATGATGGGACGCGTTCGGAGGGCGGTGCCTGTTGGCTCGGGGACCTGTGACACCCCCCCCCACAAAATAGCTTGCCGAAGTGAATGGGTTTCGCCACAGTGCCAACAGGGTGGTCCAGCCAAAGTTCTCTGTTGCTGACACAAGGACCGGCCGCTTGGCTTCCTCAACCCTTTTATTAAAGGCCATTGGCCTCTTTAGCCTCTTTGACAGTAGCCGATGCTCCAGTCGACCCCTGTGCTCCTTACTCTGAGGCGTCGACACACGTCACAGTCAATCCTTCATAGGATTCTCCTGTACTCTGCAAGCCCAGAGTGTGCCGATGGCTCGTAGCTACTCTCCTTGCTCGTAGCCTCATTTCAGTCTGTCACCTGCTAAAAAAAACATGTGCGCCCCCCTCCCCAGCTCCTGCTGAATGCATTCTTGGTGGATGCAGCCTGTGCTGCTGGGTCCAGCTCAGCCCTGACCACAGTGATCCAGCGGGCCCTCTGTCAGGATGCTGGCTGACAGACGGCGCCCTCTGGCCTCCACTAGAAGGGGGCTTCCTCTCTGTCCTTCATGCGGCACACACCTGCACGCTGGAGCATTGGCACCACTACAGTGAAACCGCCTTGGTCTCTGCTGTTTTTGTGTGCTCAGTTGACAGCTGAAACATCTTGCTTGTATTAAACTACCCCGAGGGCATGGACAAATTAATTTAGCATGCTGCATTGGGCACAAACACTTCCATTATAAACAGCTTTCTCTCTGTTTGGCCAGTTTGTTTTCACAACCTGCCTCTTTTAATAGACTGAGTTATTGGATAACTATGGATTTATTATAAAGTCCACTTTGTTTGGACCAGCTCTTTGTATGTTTGAAAGTGACTGAATATTCACCTGAAGAATCAAAAGTAGACGTGCAGAAACTAACCCTGACGAACTTTAAAGTTTACATTTCAACTAATTATGCCTTCTTTCCCCATCAGGGATGGATGTGGATCTGGAGAACCAGGGTGCGAGTCAGTACTCCAGCCAAGACCTTTACATGCAGTCTGGGGGTCTTGAAGAGGGAGACCAGGGTTGGGTGTCCTGGGCTTGGTCCTTCGTCCCAGCCATCGTAGGCGAAGAGGAGGGATATGAGGAAGGCCTGTATGAGCAGGGAGAGGCAGGAGGCATCCCAACCAACCCACAGCAACTCACACCCAGAGACCCCATTGTTTCTATTGGCTTCTACTGCACAAAAGCCTCTGTTACCTTCAAGGTAAATCGGCTTATGCATTCTCACTCACAATGGTTCCATTCCCAGGTCAAGTGTTACGATGCAGGCCTGTATGTTGTATTTGCCAAATTGCATCACATTTGATTTAGGGTCAAGAAATACTTTAACTAATTTTAGATGCACTGAAAAAATATGTTTTTAAATGTACAACAGCAAACGCAGAAGCAGTTTGTCTAGGGGGCCTTCGTCGCAAGTCAGAAAACTCTTTTGTAAATTCTGTATATACAGATATTGGATGTTGATGTAGAATTTCCTGGTTTAGGATATCGTTGTGTTAACAATTAAAGTTGTTTTTTTCCCTTGCCGCCATTACCCACTCCCTCTCCCCACCCCCTCACTGCGGCTTATATTCTGTGGTGATTTTCAGTAAGAGTCTCAAAGAAGGGCTTGATCTTCAGGAAGTCACAGTCCTCTTTGTCTGAGTGTGTGGTAGAAGGGGCGGGTAGTGTAACCGCTAACCGACGTCTCGGATCACGTTAATGTTTTAGACATCATACGTGGTGTGATGAGTATTCAGAAATGGATCCCAAACTTTAATCCTGCCTGCTCATTCAGAATAGTTTGAATTCATCTGCGTTTCCCCTCAGGTTCAGGCACTTCGGATCACATTACTGTGTGTGTGTGTGTGTGTGTGTGTGTGTGTGTGTGTGTGTGTGTGTGTGTGTGTGTGTGTGTGTGTGTGTGTGTGTGCGCGAGGCATGTCTCAGGCCAAACAGACCACGGTTCTTTACTAATAACGTTTAAATTGTTCCTGTATTGTTTGAGTTCTTTTAATCAATTAATTGCCTCTAGTCTGGAGTAATTGCAGACAGCTGAAACGTTCTCGTCTCTTTCCTACAAGGAAGTATTTAGTTGGAGGGAATTTCAGGTCTTTGAGCAGCCACGGCCTAAACCGGCATTTGACATTGACATGAAATCAGAGAGGTATTTTTAGATTGCTAACCCATTACTCCCAAAGATCTGTTTGATCAGAGAAACTGGCAGGATCATTGAATGGCTTTAACACAAAAAATGCATAGTTGAGTGCTTACTATTTATTCCGATCTTTCACGCTCTGCACACCTGCCAAACTCTCACAGCACGGCAGACGTCACGCTGTTCCCTTTGTTTTGCTATTTCTGTTTATTTCAACAACAGCAACGGCGAGCGTTCCCAGAGTCTGCTCCCAACTTTTCTACCCTGTTACATTTCTGAGAAATGGAGTTAAAGATAAAGCCCACACCCCCCGAAAGTCCAATCCAACCTCATAACATTTGATTTGTGTTGGACCCCCCAAGCCATTGACCGAGGCCAGGGCGTCATGAAGGAGAGCTAGCAGGGACATGCTCAGCATTGGTTTTGCTGCTCCACCGCTTCTGCGTCTGCTTTGTGCTAATGGGACAAACGGTGTCCATGTCTGTGTGTGTCTGATCAGCAACTCTTCAGTGTCGGTGCTACAAAGCGCCAGTGTCCTCAGAGACAGCAAAACGTTTGCATCACTCGCAAGGATCTGGAGGGGTGGAGCGGTCTCCGCACGGGATTAAACCGTCAGTCCAACCAGGGGAAGGGAGCCAGTGGGAGAGAGTCCGGTCCACCGGGGGTGAGGGGGGGGGGGGGGGGGTGTAATAAGGTCCAGCTGCTCCTTGCACTGCACCTGCTTCCTGTGCTAAAAGTTGGACAGACTGTGCAACCTCATTTCTTTAGGTTGGCCTCGGGAGCATCGCAGCTCTGTAGCCGTCTCCCTTTGGCAAGCCTCTCTCTATCTCCACATCCTCTATACACACTGAGTGAATGTTCTTCTTCCAATCACTGCACATTATCAGTTCAACCCGAGTGCTTTAGTCATGTTCTGATTGTCATCCCCAATAAAGAGCAAGCGGGCCTCCCCGGGAGTACCAGAGAAGCGACTGTCATGTGGTTTGATGAATGCCTCTGGCCTGCGTCCAGACTTGGAAAAAGAAAACGGTTCAAACGTCCCAAGGCTGGCATCAAGCCTCTGATCTAAGAAAGATGTCATCCGCCCTTGTTTGGATGTTATTGTTTCTGGTTTTAAGCATTATTTTCAGGGGCCTCCGCGCCCCTCACATCCAAAGACTTGCGTAGCTTTTGTTTATTTTTCAGATCACGTATCTGTTTCTGCAGTGGATTGCAAGTACACACGCACGCACGCACACAATGAGACATACTAAGTTCTAGTTTTAGTGCTGAATTTCTCTGAGATCCGTACTATATCCAAAACTGGTACTTATTCTGTCAAACAAAGCTCAACATTTCTTTGACGAGGTGCCTCTTTTACTCAACCAACTTCCATTTGAGTACTGCAATTATACTACGGTTTTGATTTGTTTTATACGTTTCTAAATGTCTGCTTCTGGGAAGTGACACAGCCTTGATATCAACAAAAATGTAACCATTGGAAATATTCAGTTTTCAATGTGTACAACCTTTGATGTTTCGTGACACCTTGTTGAAGCATTTCACTTCTTTTTTTTCCACAAATGAGTCTTTAGGTCTTTTAGGTTTTCTGTGCTACTGTGATCAATTCACAGAGCAAAATAATGTCCATCTGTCTGAGGAATACTTGATGGTATCTGTCCCCCTCTCTTTGGTCTCAGTTGACGGAGACCCAGTCGGAGAGCAGCTACTACAGTCCTCAGAAGGTCAAGTCCAGAGAGGTTCTGTGCCTGGAGCAGGAGGGAATCACTATCGAGGTACTGGCAAACGCTGCAGTGTAGTTCTGTCACCTACAGAACTCTTTTTTTTTACTGATTTATTCAAAGTGCAATTTGTTATTGATAAATTGTCTACTTCAACCAATGACGGCTTTCTTTTAACACCTTTTAATCAAATGGGAAAATCTATCACCAGAAAGATCTTTGAACCTAACGAATACTATGAGGTGGTATATTATTATTCCATAAAAACAGCAGAGCCAACCATTAGATATTCTGGTGGTAATGTGCCCTCTGCCATCTTGCTACCTGTCGTTGTTAAGACAAATGCAAATCCCCGCCTGCCCTTCAGACCATCCATTATTATTATTGTTAGGTTCCTCTGAACTCCCCTGCCAAGTAGTTTTATAAAAGTTCTGCAGGTCACTAATCTGTGTCAGAGGAATCTGTGTCTGAGTCGGGCCCAACTATGATCATCTCTGCGCTTTCCCCCTCGGTGTTGAAAATATTTTAAAACCCTTTTTCTCTGATTACCTGGTTGGAGCAGGAAAGGACTTTTCTGCTCGTAAGCTCTCTACCAGATGTGAGAAATTCTGAGAGATTTCCAATTCCATTTTGTGTAATTTATGCTTTTGCTGGAAGAGGGAGAGAGCAGTCTGAACTGGGACCAAAAGTGAGAGCGGTGAAAGGCAAAGGGGTGGCTAGTAAAACAGGGAAAAATAGGCCTTGTAATGAATGTGTGGTGAAACGTAAAGTTTTATTGGGTTGTCTGCTGGGTGAAGCAGCGGCTCGGTGAGGGAGGGGCAGGAAAACCTTTCCTGGTTAGAGGGGCTGCTCAAACACCAGGCTGAAGCCGTCTGACCCGCTGCTCTTTTTCATCATCCACAACCTCAGCAGCACCGCCAGCCCTCTCTGCCTTAAACATTCACAATGAATGGAGTTACAAACTCATTCTTTTCAAATGTTGTGTTTTGCTCTGAGGCAAAAAATGTTTAATTTATTTATGTGAATTATTACACAGTTCTGGTGCTGCTGGGCCTCTGTTGACACATTTGAGTTTTTTACATCCTGGGGGTTTTCTTTGGAGTAAGGATTCTGATTCATGTCACCTTCTGTTTAGTTTTCACTTACTTTGATAAAAATTATTAATCATCTGCTATATTAATATTCATTTTTGCGGATGTTATTTTCTCCTGTGCAAGTTGTTGTATCCCTTATTTCTCCTCAATGGAGGAAAAGGCCTCCAGAGTTCCAGAGATCCAGTTTTCCCATAGCTCTTTGTGTCCAGGTGGATAAATGTGGAGTATAAAACTGCATAAAGTTTCTTCCTTTGCTTTTTGTTCCAGGTACTGATGATGGGGGAGCCCTTCTTCGATTGTCAGATTGGCTTTGTGGGTTGTCGGGCCCTCTGCCTGAAAGGCATCATGGGAGTACGGGATTTTGAAGAAAAAATGAACCGACGCGAAGAGGTAAAGACAAAAAAAACTCGAGGAAAATGAAAAGAAAAAGGGGAAAACTTGAGAGGAATCACTTAAGAAAGATCATTTAAAAGCCTAGAAACAGAGATGTTTCACCAAAACTGTCTCCGCGCTGCCTCTATTGCTCCCGAGAGCTTTTAGAGGGAGGCAGAGATGTGGTGTGTAGTGTTAATGGAGGAGACCCAGCTGGCTCTCTGTGATTCACCCTAATGTTCAGTGTTTGCCAGACACACCGCTGTGGCCGCTTCAAACACACCAGCAGCTTATGTGCAGTGCAAAGCTTTTGGGCTCAATGGAAATCAATGTATTTCAATAAATCACAATAAAAGCAAAATGTAATGTGATTAATTTATGTACAAAGAGGAAACCAGCAATGCCGGCCGTGTGAACGCCGGGCGCCTCAAATAAAAGCCGAAATTAAAAGTTACGTTTTTTACTAATGGTAAGTAATGGTAGTTTTTCTAAGGTATTGTTTATAATAATTGCATGATGATATGTAAACCTATAAAATATTGTTTTATATTCTTTTTATAGTTCTAACTATAAAATATTCTTCTTATAGTTATTTTCTCAAAATAACTACATATTACCTTTATTTTGTGCAAACATAATTGCTAATTAACACCAGTAAAGTAATCTGTCCACGCTGGCACATCGTTACCTTATCCCCCCCACCCCTCTTTCTCTCATTTTTCTCTCCTCTCCCCTCTTTTATCTGCCCAGGACGCAGTGTTCTTCAGCTGTGGGGACAGCCTAGACCGCAAAGGAATGACCTACCTTACCAACTCTCTCTTCGACTACCGCAGTCCAGAGAACAACGGAGTCCGTGCTGAGTTCATCCTGGATACCACTATTCACAAGGTCAAAAAGATGTTGAAGCCTCTTTATTCATGCATCTGCTTCTTTATCTTCAGAAATAAAAAGGGTTCACTTACACACGTCACTTTCAAGCACGTTTCCTAACACATAGTGTGGGAATGCTAACTTGGCTGACGCAATTATTGACAACTGGGTAGATAAACACTAATCTAAGGTGGTTACATCCCGTCCCTCTTCAAGCTTCCACTGAAAACACTGGAATTACAGCTGTTATCAAATCCAGTGGGAATTAAGTGTTTAACTCTCAGTAGTTCCTCTTTGCAATAAATCACTGTGATTGAAACAACCGTCACTCCTATTATCTCTTGTCAGTCACCCCGCTGCTGGCTGCGGTGGAGGAATGTTCCCCGCTATCTCACCAGTAGTGTTAAGGCCATTATTCCTGATAACCACCAGCTCCCTCCATCAGCCATCCCAGCTGTAGTGTTGACTCTGCTGCAGAAATGTTCATGACCCTCAAGTGAAGCAATTGTTTGGACACCCATCCATCCGTCTACCCACACTTGAAAGTCTTAAAGAGTCAAAGGGTTTTCATGTTAATTCATTAGCGGTTTTGAAACCAGCCAATGGCTTTGATCCAAAAGCACGCCAGAGCCATTAGAGGTCTCCTAATAAATATTACTCATTAACCCGCCTGACTGATAAGGTCCTATTGAAATCTCTGTTTGGGGAGCTAGTGAGTGAGTCTGGGATGGGGGTGTTAAAATGTGTGCGCGGGAGGGGCCTCCCTCATTCTGTTTCTCGCTTGTTCACTCATTCTCTGTTTGTGGTGGTTTGATGTGCAGTAGAAGTATACCTTTCTAATATTGTCTATAGGACAGGGTCAACAGCTCTTAACCTGCAGACTAACACATGGTGACGGGTTATGGTTGAACAATGCCCTCAGGTAGATCAAACGTTTCAATATGTAGCTTTTTATTTGATAGTCCAAAGTCATGCAGAAACTCCAAATGTTTTAGCGCTGTAATGGTAATCCTAATGTTGGATTCATTGTGAGCTAAGCTGGTAGCTACAAAGTGCTTTAACAATCTTCAGGTTTTGTATTTTTATTTCCCCCAACTTTCCAATACACTACTGTTTTTAAAGGCTCTTTTGTTAAAAACTTCCAAAGCCGTTTCACAATATTTCGTCATGTTGAAACTATCAGAAGGTAGAACAGACACTCACCAAAAAGTCCTATCTTATAGAAGATAAGGTACATATTTCTAGTGGCACCAATCCAATGAGAACACTTTTGCTTCCACTTGTAAATTGCTTATTGCTCAACACAGACCGGACGTGATATGTAATAAAGTCACAATTTAAATTGAAGAAAAAGCAACTACAGAGTTGGTTGGTTCTTGGTTGGTTGGTTCCTGGATTCAGTACCTCCTCCATTTATTTTAGATATTAATGTTATTGTTGAAAAAAAATAACATCAATGCCTCCTTCTTTATCTCTGATTTGTCCCCCTTTGCCGTATCCACCATGACCCCAGTTAAATGCTATCAGCTTGTTTGCTCCCCTCCTGCCATGTTTACCTAACTCTACTTTTGTTTGACAGGAGACCTATACGGAGATAGCGGGCATGCAGCGCTTTGGTGCATTCTACATGGATTATCTCTACACAATGGAGAACAGCAGCGCCAAAGGTACCTTCTAAGCCATTCTTCCTCACTGTGCCACCTTTTCCCTGTTTGTCTTTATGTCAAGTTCTCCATCTCTGCCGTGCTCTCTATTTCTTCCTCCAAATAGTGTATCCTTTCCTTCTCTTCTTTTCTTCCATTTTTTTCTTCGCCTCTTCTCTTCTGTCTTTTATCTCCTTTTCACCCGCCGTCTCCTCTTTTCCTCTCCTCTCCTTCCCTCTGTGTCGAACAAACCCCCTGAAGACCTGCAGAAAGACCTTCTCTCGTTTGAGCCACCTGGTGCTTGACCCCCCCTGTCCTCAATCTCACCCCAAACTTACCTGGAGGGCAACTGTCAGAAGTGTTTAGTCTGCATTGACACATATTTGGGTTTCTTTCTCTCCGCTGCTTGTTGAAACATTGTTCACCCCCTGTCTCTTTACCTGTAAGCTCTTGAGAAAGTGAATAGGCTCTTTTGGCTAGTTAGGTGTCACTCCCCTTGGCAGACGCTCAAAGACGGGATGGATTTCTCATTCTTCAGCCGCGGCAGTGAAAAATGTTTGTTCAAGTCTGAAAGATCTCAAGTTCCTATTAAGAGATAAAGTGGCACCACATCTTATTCGAAATACTATATGCAACAAACGTCTCCACGGATAAGTGTGATTTTCAAGCATTTTATTTAAATGCTGCAAGGAAGCTCTATGACACCTGACTAACATTCCCAAGTCCTCCAGCACACAAAACAAAAATACAGATAAATAAGGAAATCTAACATTCTCAGCACTTTTCCGATTCAGTCTACCGGCAAACCCCCTACCGTGTCTGCATATATGGCTAAAGCGATAGTTAAAGTAAGCTTTACGACTTGTGTAACTGGCAAACATAATGTTGGAAATGACCACTTAGAGCAATGACTAACTCTTATATACTGCACATTTTCCCTTCTAATTAACACCCCCAAAATCCCGGTGAACCGGTTGAACCGCGTTGAACAGGTCATTTGATGTGTAACTGTTGCAGTCTAGTGTCACCTGTGTTGGTTCACTTGCCGTCCTTTGTTCTCCCTTTTGGACTAGGCTATTTTTTCCTCCTGTATGACAGCCACAGATAATCATCTAAATTAAAAAAAACATTGATACTGTCATCCTGACCTGTCAGTAATTTCTGACAGCAGGATAAGTGTCAGTCTCTTTTCCTGCGGGACGGCCGTAGTTACCCTTGTCAATTGGAATGCTTCTCTTCTGTCAGAGTTTCTCTTCTTCTCGGACGCGGACCATATCCAGTGTCAACCAAACAAATTACTTTCCATCGCCATGGGACTAACATAAACTCTGAGTCAACCGAAACACTAACCGACCCAGGTCACACTCACCATTGACTTCACATTAGAGCCCCGCTGCAGATTAAAACCTTTTTTTGTTTTAATCTTGAGGAAATGGAGACACTTTAAATCTTCTAAATCCCGGCTAATTTCTGCCTCCTCGTCATTTCACTGACCGTTCTAACTGCGGCCATATGGTTGACATTAGGCCTAATCCATTGCAGTCAACTCTTACTGAAGAAGGGAAAGGGAAGTGGCATGGCCTTTTATAAACCCCCAGAATTAAGTTAGTTTCACTCCATCCCCCAACCCTTTCAGCTAAAAACTCTGGCTTTCTGAGCTGCAATAATCTCTGTTGTAGTGACAGAATGTAATGGGAATAAATATTTTTGACCCATCGTCCTCACCCTCTCTCGCTGCCATTCACCCACCCCCTTCTTTTATTTTTTAATTTCTGCCTCTTTTATTACTGGGAAGTGCACCTCTGGAACAGGGTCCTGAGATGAATGAAGGGAAAGCTGTATCACGGAAGACATTTGGAAAATTCATTATCCCATGGGGTCTACGTGAGCTGCTCTCTGCTGCTGCATCTCTGTTGGCTTTTGCCCAAACACACGAGAAGATTCTATACTGAAGTTGTGCAGTACACAATTAAAATAAATAACTGGGATACAGGGAAACAGGTTGCTTCTATAGCTATTTGTCAAAAGCATACAACTCTGTAGGTTAAATAGAGTATGTGGCATGTCTGCTGACCTTGAAAAGTGTGTAACATCCTCATGTTTGTTTCCGCACATATGTATGTAATGAATGCACGCATGCGTGTTTCTGTGCGCAGGCTCTCAGGACTTCTCTGTCTTAAGTACGGAAGAGGTGGTGTCCGCTGTCCAAGAGACTTCCATCAAGAGGCTGGTGGTGGGACCTCTGGACGTCAAGCTAAACAGCAGTGCTGTCCACCGCATCCTCAAGATGGTCACCTGTGCCATGGACCACGAGTATGAGCCCTACTGCGGATCACAGCCAGGTCGGTTTGCTCAGCAGCTAACGGCTGATTGTTCCCTTTCCTCTCTCGCCTTCCTGTCGGCGTTGTTCTACTGTGATGAGCAGAAAACCCCCAGCAGCTTGCACTTTACAATATCCTCATCACATTGTTATTTCCTCCCACAACCCTTCTTTCAACACACAGCTATGCATGAAAACAGTGACCCTTTGGACCACACGAGGGAGGCTAAGCCAAACACCTTTTGTGTTGGTGGATGTCCCAGCAGTGCTATTGATGAGCTCATCCCTGGGATGTTGTGAGAGAAATTGAGAGTAGATAAAGAAGGAAGTATAAACCAAAGCAACCTTTTTCAATCAGGATGGGACGGCTAGCTCTCACCGCCGTCTGAAAATCATTGAATGAAATAAAGAACATTTCAGCGGTTGGAAACACAGATGACTAACATGCTTGGATGGACCAGCCGTTCACAGAACAGAACCATGTACAGTTAGTGAAGAGTTATGAAGCGCGGGTGTGTCTGTGTGCGAGAAGTAGAGGTAAGGAGGTCAAAGACATGACTATCTTTCTACTCATCGTGTCCTCTTCTGTGCTCCTCCTCATACGCTCCTCCCCCAAAACCCGCTGTAAATAGAGACCAATTTGGCTGGTGTTTGTGTATCTTATAAAACATAGCACTATTTAGAGCGAGTTTCCAACTTTAATTTATTTCTAAGTTATTGCTCAACAAAATTTGTAGAAGTGCAGTAATAAGAGGTTTTTGTGTGTATCGTATTTCTGCCTTTTCTTTGTGCATTGTACTGTGAGTGTTTTGGTGTGTGTAATTATGCCTCTGTATACCACATGAGCTGCTTGTCTTTAGTCATTTGGATGTTGATTGTGAATATTGTCGAGCCCTGTCATGTGCTTGGATTGGACATGGCAGCCCCAGATGAACCTGATGCGGACCTGTGGCTTTAGGCCAAGGAGCAAAAGCAGCTCTGAGATCAGGTTCTGAGCCCACCTTGGAGCTGGGAATGTAGCCCAACAGAACCTTTACTGAAAAGAACAAGCCCGTGTCCTGGGACGGAGGCCAAGGCTGTTTGCTAACAAAGCGCTCAGGGTTTGGTCCAGCTTGGGCCCTGGACCCGGTTAAGCGGTTCAGTTCCTCGGGCACGCCGTCCTTTGGGAAGCTCTGACCTGGCTCTTCTCTTCTCCTTTTTGACTCGGTGGTTCCCTTCATTTTCTTCCTTTCTAGATGTTTTTGGTCTTTGATTGAACAAGTGGTTTTATGAGTTGAAAAACAAGGAACGTATGAAACAATCGCTGTAATGGATATTGCACAGTGATGCCGCTTCTTTTTAAGCGCATGTTGATTTTATTTAGTGTACTGAGGTGGTGGTTTTTGGTTGGAAAATAACTTTTTATTGTTTTAAGGCTGCGGGCGTAAAAGAGAGGCGCCCACTCATAGAAATGTAGTGTGCTCTAAATCAGTGGTCCCCAACCACCGGGCCGCGGACCGGTACCGGTCCGTGGGCATCTCCTTTTACCGTGCACGGCAGTTTCGCCGACCAGCGAACACAGAGCGCACGACTATTACCCCCCCATGTCGATCGTTCCTGCACCTGAGGTTGCATACTGGTTACATACTGGTTAGATTCCCTTGTGTAAACCATATGATATGTTGATATGAATCGTTTAATCTTAAACTCCATCCTCGCTCATTACTTCACCTCGGCGATGTGTTCCAATGCTAACGTGTTGCTCCCTATTATGTGATTGTCTCTGTAGAAGTGGTTGAGGAGAGCCACAGTGCAGCTACTCAAGAGGAGATATCAAGCTTAGAGGAGTTCATCCCGACCAGGCTGACGTGCCTCACTGTGCTTAAAGTCTCAGTCACCGTCTCCATGGCTGAGTTCAACCTTCTACACACACTGATGCCGATCATCATGGGATGCAAGGTGGGGCACACACACACCAAACTTCTTCCAAGCAAACTCCTATTTCCTGATTATGAAGTAGGTCTAGAGTAAAAAAAAAGTAAATCATCAAATCCAGCCCCTTATACCCATCATTATAAAAGTCCCATAGTATCAATTCTAGATTTAGTTTAAGTTTAATAACTCACCAGAGAGAGTCGGCCTGCGTTATGCATTCTCCCATTTAATCCCTTTCCCTTTCAAATCCTCCATCTCCCAGACTGCACCGGGGCCAGTCAACAGCCCAGCCTTTCAGCCAGTGCGCCCTCTACCTGCTGTGCAGTTCCAAGTGGAAAGGGTGAATGTTGAGCACTCGGTACCCATGTACGCTCCAGAGCTGGTCAGCACCGTCAGCGGTCTGAGCCAGCCCTCTGACAACCTGCTCCATCATTGCTACGCACACCTCTACCTCAAGGTGAGCTCTATTAGAAACTGTATATCACAGCTGTTCTGTCTGTACAGACAAACAACAAATCAACCAAAAAGGTGACTCAGGTCAAAGTTCTATTACGTTAACAAACTCTGTATGTTTTCTTCCATTATCGTCTATTATATATTTGATCACGGACAGTACAAAAGTTATAGTAGACTCGAGGCAAAACCTACATTTACTCCTATGGCCTCTTTTCTGTTTTATTTTCAAGTTTCTCGTCATATTCTTTTGAGTTGAGACTCAATTCACATGGTAATTAGTCTGCATGGTCACAGGCTGAACCCCAGAGACTGATGACCTGGATGACCCTCTCTCCTGGTCATAAAGATTTCAGCGCTGGGCTTCCTGATGAGCACCAGTCCAGCTCTGGTCTACTTCATGCTTTCCACTTGATGGGATGCTACATTCTTGTATTGTGCACCGTTGACATTCCCTCTTTTCTGCTTTTATTGAGTGGTTTTCAAAGCCGAAAAGATCAAATTCATCGTAAATTACAGTTAAATTTACCATCAACATCAAATAGAGCCTAAGAAAACATTATTTAGTTTGTCAGAGATCTACTATTACATCACTCTAGCATCATTAGATGCATTTTAGTATGCAAAATGTGTTCTACAATTAGACTGTACAATGACAGATCAGATACAAATCAGCTGTGAGTCATTCACATCATTGATTTTCCTCTTAATGTGTCTCAATATGTTGTATACATAGCTATGAAGCATGAATTCTTAATATACAAACTACCTGACTAGTATGTCATTGAGATAAAGGGGACATTAAAGTCACTTTAGCGTCTGAATTAAAGGTTATTAACTCCTACTTTGCTTAACAAATCATCATAAATCAACTACAAATGTAACTACATAGTTTACTTGAAGGTGTAGTAATATGGCACTACGGTGGCTTTAGCAGATCCAGCTCATCCACTTTTAGGAATCCCGGGTCAGAGATCTGGGGGGATCTGGGGTGGCCCAGTCTGGCCTGGTCTGTTTTTTCCGAAGGCAGGATGTTTGCCGGACATCAAAATGGTAGTCCTTATCACAGGGTCACTGAAGGGTTAACAGTCAACTGGCCTGTGGCCAAGGATGTTCTGAACCATCGGCCAATCAGCATCCACCGAGATTCTAATTCTGCCTCTGGATTTTGGCAGTGGGATCATGCCGGGGTGGAGGTCACTCAGGCAGCAATTCACCCGGTGCAGGAAGTGATTTAGAACAGGTATAAACCGTGGCTTATCTTAATCTGTGTTTTATTGACACTGGCTGACAAAGTTTAGGTGTCTGTGCTGTGTGGCGGTTAGCCATTGTCTCACTTTGTCGCACCGTGGTCCATAGACAAGGACTGAAAGTCACCCTGGCTCTCCAAAAAGGAAACAGAAGTAAATACCGATACCGATCAGTATTGAAGCCTAGGCTATTTGAATAACCTGGTGTCCAGAGAGCTGCAGGGAGTTGGTCTGTGTATATATATACCCAAGCTTGCAACTTTGATATACTACTCTGTTGTGTAATATTCCATCCCCGGGCCAGTTGTCCGTTTCTAAATGAATCATCATTTTAGTTTAGTTCAAGGTTGTGTCTGTCTGCTCTGGGCCATGTGCTCAGCACAGCGGTTTAGAAGACCTTCTCTTGGAATAGAGTGAATCCTGCCATGACCGTATACAGCAGCTGCATGAGGGACAACTGGGCCCAGCCATCATCCACTACCTCAAATATTCAGCTGGGCTTCATCCACCAAGCTCACTGTTAACAGTATGTAAACATTGAGGTTGCAGTACATTATGCGTCTGGCAATGGGGCTACCAGTAGCTCATATAATAAAAATACGATCATGAGCCACATTGTCGTTAAACGACAAAGCACTCTCCACTTGAAAAATAGGTCAGTGTTACCCGACGTGACGCTGGAAGCTTGGCGTGATCTGGACTGGTGTGGAGCCGAATGATCTGGTCTGTGTGAAGGGGTGTTGTGACTGGGCTGTCAACTGAGGCCATGCAAGACTGTTGCTTAATCTATTGCTGCTTTAACTCATCACAGCAGTGGTTCCCAAACCTTTTCTGTCGAGCCATCCTTTGATGGCATAAGAACATTGAAGCCCCCCAAATGGGTCGTACCTTCTTTGTTTTGAATTAATTGCATGCATAATAAATTATATACTATAAAATAGTACATATTACCTTATCACATCAATTTATTTTTAATTTTTCTTGTTTACTGAAAATACAAAGTGAAATACCCATGAATCTTAATTTCAGTGCAATCTATATATTTCCCCAAATTTAAAAGCAGTATTGTATTCTGATCAGATCATGTTCACGCTATTATGCTCACATGATTGGGGCTGTGGGTTTTCTCTCTTTAGTGGGCTTCATACTGTCTGCTATCAGTAAGTATTTTTTTGTGCCGTAGTGGTGGTGGTGCTGGTCACGTCGCCCGCACTTTCCTAGTCTTCTGACCATCATTCATACACTGATGACAGGAGTTTGGGTTCCCAGTTTGGGAACCACTGTGTTACAGTATGTGGGTACACGTACAGAAAAACTGAGTTCAGTCTGCCATTTGTCTGTAAACCTCTGTGTACAGCGTGTTCAGGACAATGTGAATCCTACTTGAGTCACCTTGCAGGCTATTCGTTACTTATGACATGTCATCTTTGTGTCATGTCATAAGTGATGTCATCTCAAAAAGCTATGAACGTATATGTAACACAGAGAACATATACATACATACACCGCTCTAATGACAGCGACATCCTGTAAAACAAGGTAGCCCCGCCCTAAAGCCTACCCTGCTGTATTCTCTATTTAACTCTAAAGGGACCACAATCTAATAAATGAATATCATGCTGTATTGAAAACAACATAAAACTAGAGATTGAGACCATAAACTCATGTTTTATTTAAGACTTTCAATCTGTTCAATCTGGCTTCTTGTTGCCACCAGAGAAGTTGCCCATGCAGGTCAGTAGAGAGAAAGCAGGTTTTAAGACTCTTCCACATTGACTTCATGCTGAAACTGTTTGTTCAGTCAACAAGGATGATAAGATGTGGCGCCCTTCTTTTGTTTGTTGGTTTGTTTTTCCCCAGGGGGGCAGCGGTAGAGGGAGACGTTGATTCATGTGTTTCATGTTTCCCCCCCCCCCCCCCCCCCCACCTCCATTTGTGAAACCTCCCTTTTCTGTCCGTCCCTCTTTTTCCAGGTGTTTGGGTTCCAGGCCGGCTTGACATGCCAGGACAATACAGGAGCTTTCCTGCCTCTCATCCCCATCATCCCTTCCTTCAGCACTGCACTCTACGGGAAGCTCATCCAGATGCCTTCATACTGGTAAGCAGTTGTAATATAGATGGAAATTTGAGCACAAAGGCAGAAAGACTTCCCCATGTCAACATCAATTAAATGAGCTATCCTCTCAGTAACGGCAGTGGAATTTAAAGTTATATTGTAAACAACACTTTTTTTTTATAGTTTTGCTATCCTAACACAGCTACCTCAAATAGTTTAGAGGCTTTGACATTTCACTTTTGCCTTTTTTTTAAATGACAGGGATTGAAGTGGTGTCCAATGAAGTGAAGCCCAATCATGTATCAGTTTGTACTTCCTCCACTGTACATGCAAGGTATCCGTCATCCTGCAATGGCTAAAGATACTTAGCCAAGTACAGTAAACAACTGACACCACGGTCACATGACTGCACGTAACAACCACCACAGATATAGACTGACTAGTCAAATTGGTGCCGTTTTGTAGTGTAATTTAGCCACTTGTTAGCAACCACAGGGATATTTACTGGCTTATTTTAATATGGTAGGACAAAACAAAGTCTCTCAGTTAGACCGCAATTCCCCGAAAACCCATTCAAGAGGACGAGTGAACAGGAAATGCAAAAAGGCCCATACCGAACCGATTCCTTTTTGGGAAATGGTGTGAACCTCCTGTGTGTGTTGGTCCATGATGGTGTTTATATTCATGCTCGACTTCTCTGTATACAGTGTGTGTGTGTGTGTGTGTGTGTGTGTGTGTGTGTGTGTGTGTGTGTGTGTGTGTGTGTGTGTGTCAGGCCGTGTCTTGTACTTCATAAAGAGGACTGCAGCTTTTTGAGGGCAGTGCATCAGAGGCTATTTAAAGTGATGGATGAGCCCGTTCTGCAGCGGTCGGTGGGGAAAACAGAAAAACACATCATCTGGTAACAACTGCAACTATTTCTCACATGGTTTGAAATACAAGGAGAGGAAAATAATACAAAGCTGTCTAAGGAGATGAAAAAACATATTGCCATATCCCTGTCCTCCTACCAGACTGGGGATGACTCATCGGGGATGTCCCCCGAGAGAGGGTAAGAGTTGACAGAAAGACAAGAAGGGGAAGAAGAGGAGTACGCCCCTTATTCTTTGAATGTTGAAGTTATCAAAATACAGAGAGAGTCGGAGAAAATGCAAAAGTAGACAAGCTGCACAGATACTGTAAGCAGAGAGTGAGTGGAGAGCAGAGAAACAGATGAATGGACAAGAAGAGGGGAGAAACACTTTAGAGAAACAATGATCTCACTGTAGGGTTACACTATCGATGTTTGTCTGTCGCCTCTGACCTTACCTTTTTTTAATTGAAAATGTCTTAAAGAACTTAGCCTTGAAACATGTCTCTCCTTTCACTTTAGTTGATATACATATCAGCCACAGTGAAAGTGAAAGAGACACGTTTCAATGCTAAAACAAAAGAGCCTTTTGATACATACATTATGTGTATGTATCTAAAGGCCCTGTTGGGGTCAGTTCATCATTTAAGTACGGCTTTGTAAAAACAAATTAGTAGTTTGTGTCCTGCTGTCTATTCAGATCAACCCTCGCACGTCTGGTTGGTAGAGCAACAAATGAATGAAATGAAGGTTTCCAGTTTTTGATGCAAGCACACACTCACACCCTGTGCCCTCTCCCTCACACCTTCCAGTCAAAGTGCCTGTTAAAGCAGAAAACCTGTGAGAGCACTAGCTTGGGAATCCATTTCCCCCCATTAGTTTGGATTTAAACATGTCAGAGACCTGCAGATGGTTTTGACTTCTGACTTCCTCCCCAGGCAAACATTGTATCTACTCTACAGCGGTTAGCTGGCCACACAGTGAACCACTAGGCCCTCACTCGTTGGTGTGTGCGCGTGTATAGAATCTGATTCCCCGTGCTCACTGCTCCCAATGAGAGACGGCTAGCTGCTTGTTTGATCTCTAGCTCCCCGTCTGTTTCAGCCCTGCCTGCTTTTAAATAGTGGATTCAGATGTCAAACGGATGTTATTTTTCTTTCTGACAATCACTAGATGTTTCTCATCTCCTGAGAGCCCCCCCGTGGCTTTTCTCTCCGCCTGGACCAGCCCTTAGAAATAACACTGACAACCCCTCACAGTCTCCTCGACACTTTAAGAAAGCACTGTGTTATTCTTTGTTGCAAGCAACCTCTTTGATGAATCCAGTATGTCCGGTATCCAGCAGGAGTCCTTGTCTTCTTATGCTTTGAGTAGGTTATCTGTTGTGCTATCTGGCATTGTGATCATACCTAAGAATAGGTGAACACGTCAAGAATTCTTATACCCTTAACAGGATTATTTCCACTTCATCTCTTTTTCTTCATCCTCAAAACAGGTTTAGCTTGATGTTTCCGACACTTTGACAGCTTCAAAGTGCTTCGGGTGCCTGTTTGTTTCAGTGTCAGTCTCTCTGCTGTAGACCATAATGATACTAGGAGATTTGTGCACGGTGATGAGCTCCGAACCTGCCAGTGACTCATATTTGACCCTCTTCTGTCTAAGTGGGAGGTATGGCCTGTCTCGCTCACTGACCTGTGTGTTGCAGCAGTCAAAATCCAAAGAGCACAACCTGACAGTTTGCCTCTGAAAGAATGATGATGAGCCTGTTTGACGGAAAGGTTGGTTAGAAGACGAGGAAAAGTAGAGGGTGCCGAGTGACAACCAGCGATCTTATTAAGTGAATAGTAATCAACCAATTTGTTTTCCTATTGCTAGAGATTAGCTGACACACTGTTGCTGGATGGTCTTTGGATGTATGTGACGTGAAAATGGATGGCCAGTGAATCCGACTGTCTGATTTAGTTGCCGCTGACTTTATTCTCTGTGCGTCTCGGCCATGGGATTCATGGGATTCGCCGTTGGAGCCAAAGGATGGACTCCACCAGGTGGTAGCATTTAATTTCCCTGCATGGATGTTTGTTTTGGGACGGCTCCTCTGCGCTGAAACAACTCCACAACACCCCTTTCCAACATGTTCTGTTCTCAGGGCAGACACTCAGCAGGGCTCCAACTGCTTTTTTAAAGGAAAAATTAAGAAATGTGGGAAGCATGGGACCGTAGTGAAGGTGCAGGAGAAAGCAGCAGAGAAAAAGTGCTTTCTGTCTCCAGTAGTTTTGTTATGCACACAAATGCATAATCATCAGCTTTTTCCATTACCAATGTAAAAGGTAGCTGTGGATTTGCCTTCCTCTGTATTTAAAGTAGGGGATGACTGACAGCAGAGAAAGGTAGCTTGGAGTGGGAAAGTGATGTCATGCACACATTTTGCATCCCTCTCTTCCCCCAGCCCAACCCCCCCAACCCCTCTCTCATGCACAAACACAATGCTACACTAACATGTTTGTCGTTGTCCTTGCCGGAAGGTCATGTTCAAGCAAGTGTATGTGACTGCCAGGTGATCATGGGAGATTTGAAGGGGCTCTGGGCGTCTGGAGACCCGGCATGTCTCCTGATGAGTTGGCCCACGCCGCTCGCTGCAGCTCAGGTTTCTTTCAGTTTCACCGCAGAAGCTCTGGCTTCTCATAGTGGGCAGCGAAAGGGACTTACAGCGAGGAAAGTACACCGCCTTGACTTCTTTCCTCTGCCAGCCTCAGCTTTTACTCTCCGTTTGGGTATGTGTGTGAGACCTTGGATAGTTCCTGGTGAACTGAGATGCATTTGCTTCCTGTGTTTTTAAGCAAAATGTCTGTTTACGGATGGTTAATTGCTCCAGAGGAATGACAGATTTTGACTTCTGGTTCACCAGTTCCCATTTTTATGAAGAAATTAAATATCCAAGACGGGACTAGCCAAACCAAAATATAATGAATCAACCAACAACAATGTATTCTTCTTCTTCATCAACATAAAGTGGATAATAGATTTCAATGTAAGAGCAGTTCTATGCAAACATCCCCTAAAACGCTGTTGAATGGGTTTGCTCCGCTGTGATATTTCAACCTTGTCAGCATGTCATGTCCATGTGGAGATAAACTTCAGAGGTTGAACTTTAAAACAAACTAAACTGTGTAATTTGGTTGTTCTGACTCTAATAAGCCTCTCTGGGAACCGTCACCTTATCGTGGTGGAGAGGTTTGTGTGTCCCTATGACCCTGAGGGCTGTGTTGTCGGGAGCCTTGTGCTCCTGGTAGGGTTACCCTTGGCAAAGTGGTCTCAGGCGAGGGGCCAGACTAAGAATGATTCAAAAAGACCCTATGAAAAAACGGAAGCGGGAAGGAGTTACCCGGCCCGGAGGAAGCCCGGGGCCCCCATTTGGAGCCAGGCCCAGATGGAGGGCCCGACAGCGAGCCTCTGGTGGCCGGGTTTACCGCGGAGCCCAGCCGGGCACAGCCCGAAGGAGTGACGCGGCAGCCCAAGACTCTACTCCCCATGGGCTCACCACCTGTGGAGGAAACCGATGGGGACGGGTGCGCTGCTACAAAGGTAGCAGTGACAGTGGGGGGTCTAGACGGAACAGACCTGGGCGGCAGATGCTGGCTCTGGGGACGTGGAACGTAACCTCTCTGGGGGGGAAGGAGCCGGAGCTTGTGCGGGAGGTGGAGCGTTATCAGTTGGATCTGGTGGGGCTTACCTCTACGCACAGCCTCGGCTCTGGAACCACACTCCTGGATAGGGGGTGGACTCTATTCTACTCCGGAGTGGCCCATGGTGTGAGGTGCCAGGCGGGTGTGGGGATACTCATAAGTCCCCGGCTGAGTGCTGCTACATTGGAGTTTACCCCGGTGGACAAAAGGGTCGCCTCCCTACGCCTTCGGGTGGTGGGGGGGAAAACTCTGACTGATGTCTGTGCATATGCACCAAACAGCAGCTCAGAGTATTCGGCCTTTTTGGAGACCCTGAATGGAATCCTGCATGGGGCTCCAGTCGGGGACTCCATAGTCGAGAGAAACTGTGGCAGGTGCTGCGGGAGTAAGGGGTGAGGGGGTCCTTGCTTGGGGCCATCCAATCCTTGTACGCCCAAAGCGAGAGCTGTGTTCGGGTGCTCGGCAGTAAGTCGAAGGCGTTTACGGTGGGGCTTGGCCTTCGCCAGGGC